GTATAGAACAAAACCTGCTCATAACTCTGTGCTGTAGGTAAGACATATGAAGTCTCTGTCTCAAGTCCTAGTAGCTGCCTGACTTGAGCAATTATGTTATACCAGATGTCTACCCAGAGGCCCTGCGCTCTCTATAATTTTGTAGGTAGGTACACAGGCGATCTGCAGATTCCAGTGTAATTATTACTTTTGCAGATCCTAGGCTTTGCTTATTTATTTCAACGTAACTATAGATTGGTTAGGGCGGAAGACTAGACAATGCTTGGAAATGGCCCCCAAGGGACTGTGTATGGAGGAAAGGTGTAGCCCTCTCTCAGATGGTTGCTCTTGCAAGAGGTACAACCATTTCTCCTTTGCCTTCCCGCCCCACCCCCACACACATCCCCCCTGCCAAGGGCTTTCTGAAAAGCACTTTCAGAGAAGAAGCTGTGTTTCATTTTGTGCAAATGTGAAGTCCAGGCTGCAGAGAGCAGGGCTTTAGGGTTGGGTCACTCTGGTAAAACGCTTCCCACATGACTTTATCAATGGGTGGGCCATGGAAACTTATCCTGTGTTTTTTTTACACCCCACCCCCAAACCACCCAACCTGCCTAAGTGTTAGGTTTTCAAAGCCAGAGAAGTTTCAAAGGCCTGAACCCAACACAGGGGCCTTTCTTCATGCTTTGATTTTCTGCCCATTAAGTGTTTGTCAGTGAGTTTGTATTTCACCACCTCTGCAGCCTACACATCCCAAGGAGTCCTGGAGGCATAGAAAGTTAATTGATCCTTGATTAAAAGGAGAAGTGCTCAAGTCTGGCTCTAGGATCATCAGAATATTATTATTTTTTTTTACTCAACTTTATAAAAAAAAACCTGTAATGCACATTTTGTTATCAATAAATCTAAATTCCAGGATATTGGTTTCAGAGTTTTGATTGAATTAGGTTGTGTGTATCTTGTTAGCACGTGTGTGGTACATAGTGAATACTCAGGGAACATTAGCTAGTAGTGCTCTTGCTTTGAATGTTCCAAATGTTTTTCTTTCTTTATTTTGCAAAGGTCATGAGAGTTACTGAGCTTCATCTGCTTTATGAATACCCATAGGTGCTTCCTTCTTTGTGTTTTACATGACTCATTTGAAAAAGCACCGAGACTTAAAACCAGATCACTTGAATCCCATCCAGCTGCATTGCTTACTTGCCGAGTGACTCTAGTAACGCTTTAATCTCTCTAAATTGTAAAGTGGCTTAACGTATTGGTTTTATGACTGTTTCTCCTATTCGTCTTTGGGCCACTCAGAGGCTGAGATTTAGCCTCTTTCATCTCCGTAGCCCAGGCAGTGCCTAAAGATGGTAGGTAGTCAGCTTGTCAGACCCAGTGGTGCGTCGGGATGCATCACTGTTCAGTAAACTTTAGCTGTTGTTAGTCTTTGTGCTGTTTTTCCCTTTCTCCCATTCACCACATACTTGTATTTTTCTTCTAGCCCTGTAGCAAAGTTTAAAATTATGTTCTTATAATTACCAGAGTTTTGTGACTTCCAGTGTTGGTATCTCTAAACTACACCAGTATTTGTCATGAACTTGCCTACTCTGTGGTCTCCAAACCTCTCTACTGGTAGAAGGGTCAACTCAGGCTCTAGGCTCGTGTGTGACCCTTGCATAGTGTGGTTCGTGTCCTCAGTGCAATCTATACAAACATCAGTGACCACACTAGATATATCTTAGTGGGAACACCAAGTTCTCCAGGAAAGGTGTTGGGATAGGTTCACTTCTGGCATCCCACTGTGTAGCGCTGGGAATTTCCCTGAGATGAAGTGATGGAGGATGTAGGATTCCAGATGGTGCCGTGTTGGAAATGGAAGCCCTGCTTTGGAAAAGCTTGGCCCCTTCTCTGTGTCTCGAAGAACCAGACACAGTCTTGTGTCTCTTGGGGACCAGCTGCCCAGTTGGGGGTGTGTATGATCACCCATCAATCAACAGGAGGAATTCTGAAGTTACCCTCATCCTGGAGTGAAGCCAAAATGGGACTGGCATCACCCCAGTAAGGCCACAGATTTGTAGGAAGACAGAAAAAGCCTTTGGCTTTTCTAAATGCTTTCTCCATGCCTTTCAAGAAAATAAACAGAATATATTCAGATCCTGCTTCTTGTCTGTTTGCGGTCATCATTCACATAATCACAACCGGAAACCACTACCAAGCCATAGGCAAAGAAAGAATAAAATGGGTTTGGATGGCTCCCAGTTTAAGAGAAGGCAAAGGAACTGACCAGACAGATTTTTCTTTCCCAGCCCCATCATGGCCTTTTCTCCCTTCTCCCCGCTGGCACTGAATGTTCAGAGTGTGCCTCAGATGCTGTGCTGATGTTACCCTGCATCATAGTCTTGAATTTGTCCAGCTGACACTTTCTGGACTCGTTTTTATTCTCTGTATCTTCTGACTGGACTGTAAGCTCCCTGAGGTTAGGTCTGGGTCATCTTGTATTATGATTGGACTTAATAAAACATAGTTAAAGTCAACGAATATTTGTTGAATGAATGAACTTGTAAACACACTAACTTATACCATCCCAGCCATCCTTCAGTTAGATCCATTCCTTCCACTCAACAGATGAGAAAGGGAGTTTTGGAGACGTGAAGTCACTTGCTCAAGGAGCAGGGAGCAGAACCAAGATCATTAACTGAGTTCTAACTCCAAAGCTCTTTTATATGTGTTTTATTGTCCTTAGAAACACATGTTTTACAGGCCCATTATGGGAGCACTATTAAAAATAGAAGCTGGAGGTCTAAGAGTGTAGCACAAAGGTAAGGCACTGGGCGCCCATAGCCTTCCTGAGTTTATTAGCAACGCCTTGACTTCCAGGCGGCTTGGAGGCTGTGGCCGAGCTCGGACTTGAAGCTAAACATTTTTATCACGATGTGTGGAACTTTAAAAGCAGGCTATTAATATCAGACTGCTGGCTTCTTGGCTACTTTTCATAGCCAATTTGGTCATGTTTCAAAATGTTTGGGCTGTAGATTGAAGATAGTTCTAACCCGTAAGATAGCTTTCCCAGGTTCCCCACCCAAAAGATCAGCTGACTCCTGTCACTTCTAAGCCGAAACATTCAGCTGCTTACCCTATCCAAGGCAGAGTCAGAGTTTCAGGAGTTAATGGTTATTGCCTTTCAGGGCCCTGTGTGTTTACTTTGAGAAGGTCAGGCACAATACTGTGGTGTGTTGCTGTTCTTTCTTTTCAAAGCAGCAGTATGAATTTGATAAAGTAAATTGTTGTTCTAGCAGGAAGCAGTTAGGCGTCACAAAATAAATAGCCGTAGAAGTCAAATAAATCCAAAAGAATAAAACCAAATAAATCCATGTGCGTATGCACAGTGATATATAAATATACATTTTCGAAAGTGAGTGTTTTTATCGTTCCCAGTCTGGACTAAACTAATTGAAAAGTTGTGGCGTTCAAGGTACTTTTATTGGATGGGAGGGTGTGGTCTAGGGCTTTGAGCAATGTGACATGAATTTAATCTTTTTGAAAAACATTTGAAAATGGAACTTTATCCTTTAAGCAACTGCATATCATGGGATTGTTCAGCTAATGAATTTCACATTTGGATGAGAGCAATTTGCGAAGTCAAATTAGGGATTTAGGCATTGGAAGGCATGTGTGACCACAGATGAACTAAGTATCCAAGGCCTCATTTGATGATGGGGAGTCATGCTTACGGGATCCTCTGAAACGACTGCCCGCAGTCTTACCAAAAGATCGTGCACAGAAACTTATGGGGTACCTGATGCATTACTTGGGAACAGGTGGTGGTGGTGATTACCAAGGTTTTTTATAGCCTTCCTTAGTCCTGACTCTGTGAGGTGGCATTGGAGTCTGGTGTTGAGCTTGGGTAAAGGACAGCAAGAAGTATTTCAGTCTAGGGGAACAAGAACAAAGTGAGACACAGTCTCTGTGGATAGTTTTCTTGTGGGGAGGTGGGTGAAGTGGGTAGCAGACCTGGGGACTGGAGAGGAGAGTTCAGACACAGACACTTCATCTCATCCTGTGCAAAGGGGACCCACTGCTCATGCATTAGTGAGACAGTACCATGCCCATGGTCAGCACCCTTCAGGAAGTAAGTGGGTGGATACGTGCAGGAGACACTGAGGGCCAGGAAACCCATTAGGAGGCAATGGTTGTCTCTAGTAGGCGTCCTTATGGAAGTTAATTTTCACTTTAGAACTCTGACTTTTCTGGGCAGGTGGTGGAATCTGTGACCTTTGAGAGAATGGTACTGATAGCCAGCAGCAGCTGCTGGAGCTGCCTGTGCCCGCAGTGCCCTTGGGCACCTGTCCAGGTCTTTGAGCAGCTGGGGTTGAGCTCAGCGCTGCTCGACTCTCCTAAGTGACCCTGAACAGTGAAAGAAAGCAAGGGCTTTAAAATGACATTCATCGAATAGCTTCAATCCACTGTGCTAGATGTTTTATGGAGGTTGGTCTCCTTTATTGTCACTGCATCTCATTTGGCTGTGGGGAAACTGAAGCTCACAGAGATGGGTGAGGTCACACCACTAGAAAGTGGAAGATCTACAACTCAACTCCAGAGTCTGACTCTTCAGCCTGTGCTACCTCATGCAACATGACCTTAGGCTGAGCTGGGGTGCTAGGAAAAGATGCCCTTGGAGGCAAAATGGGGCCATTAGCTTTGGGGCTACATTAGTGGTTATTACAAATGAGGCTTTAATTTTTAGCAGGGTGTTATGGAATGGTGGGAAATCTATGCCCTGACTCTTCCACAACCTCCCTCTGAGCACTTGGGCAAGAAAAGAAGATGGTAGCCCTTTGCTTATAGGCAGAAGGAAAGAGGAGAGAAGAGGCATGTAGCACAGGATCTTTGTAGGCTGTAGACAGCTAGAAATGAAAGGAATCAGCATCACCATATTGTGGTTTGGGGCAATCCTTGGGGTCAGGTGCTGCTCTTCTGTTTGCCTGCACTGATATTTTCTCCTTTCCTTCCCCGCTTTTCCTGTGTATGTGTGGTTCCAGCCAGCCTGCCCTTCCTCATCATTGAGACGAGCACCATCAAGCCTTACCAACGAGGGTTTTACTGCAATGATGAGAGTATCAAGTACCCGCTGAAGACTGGGGAGACCATCAATGACGCTGTGCTCTGTGCAGTGGGGATCGTCATAGCCATCCTCGCGGTAAGTGTCCCACATCTGCTGTGTTCATCCTCCCTGACTTCCTCCTGCACTGTGATATCATAGATGATCTCAGCCAACAGAGACGTAACAAACCAGCAAAGCCAATAAAGACTTGCTGAGTACCCTTCTAAATTATTTTCCATATATTGTCCTCACAGCAATCTAAGCAAGTGTAGATGCTGTGCTTCTCTTTCTTGTGCAGTTTAAAAAATTAAGGTCCATTTTCCTTAAGAAATTGAGGAGTTTTTCCAAAGATCACTTGGTTTAGAAGTTGTAGAGCTGAAATTTGAACCTATCTCTTCCCCTAGAGTCTGAGCCCTAGAAGGGAAGAAATCCCTGCTGACTGCTCCAGCTATTTTCTGTGTTTCTTGAATACCTTCCTTGCACTGCAGAAATAATGATCAGACCACTCATGTACTCTGATATCTTGTTTGATTCTCCTGCCCAAGCGGCTGTGATGCCAAGGTAAACAGGACCTGGAATCCAGAGATGCAGGTTCTAGATCAGGCCATACAGCTTTACCACCAGAGATGGCTGACCTGCCTCCCAGTGTTGCAATAAAGTATAGAGAGATCATGAATATTACCAGGTATTGCAAACTCTTAATTGCTGAACAGGGGATTCGTGTGCAGAGGAAATCCAGCTTTACACATGCAAGACTTCCCTTAAAGGGGGAAGCCCTCATTGCACAGATGTGGCCTGGATTTTAACAAGATCTAGAATTATTTTGAGCAAAGATGGTCTCATGGGCATTGGGCAGGACAGAGGGTGGGTAATTAAAATATAGCTTATACTTTGCAAGTGCTCCATTTTCACACCTGTCCATTTCACACCCTCTGTATTTGCTAAGTTCATCCTCTGCCTTGAACTTTCACCATATGGGTGAAAGGAATAGGCAGTACGTCTACTAGAATAAGTTCTGTCTCCTGAACCACTCTTCTCTTGAGCATAAGCTGGAGACTTCAGCCTGTATTAGGAATCCAGGGAGGAAGGTTGTTAGTATCAACAAAACTGAATGTGAAATAAATATTCTTATCCCCACATGCAGCTGGAAAGTCTAAAGTACATAGAGATTAAATGACATGCTTAATGTCTATAGCTGGTAAAAACTGGAGCTGAAGCCTGTGTCCAGCTCATTTCACAGACCCCTCTGTGTCTTCCAGACTTAGTTCCAGGATGCTAGCCTATCTAAACAAACTGCTCAAGGGTTAGGCAATCAGCTTATCTTGCCTACTCTGGATCAAGCCTGAGTGGCTGAAGCACAACCACACACTGCAAGCAGCTTTTCTTTTGATACTCTGGGGGCTGGTTGTTAACTTTGAGACCCCTCTTTGTTTTTTAATAACATCATAAACTAGGTACACAATCAACAATTTGAATTCAGGAAGACAGAAGGAGGAATGGGAAAATTCTTTCCATGCTTTAAAAGAAAAACTGTTTGGCAACTGTAGAAATTTTTTAAAGGTGGGCCAAGAATCTTTGTGTTTGAAAACTGAACAATGAAAAGTCTAACTTTGCTCCCAGTGGATAGCTGTGGACAGTTCTGTGGGAGAATGGCTTTTTCTGAAAACGTATCCGTCCTGAAAGCAGTAAACTGCGCAGTACCTTGTGCTAAGGTTGGAGCAGGTGTTCTGACAGCTGAAGCATCAGTTGAGGAAATGCTTCCAAGGCATGAGTTATAATCCAAGAACACAGGGAGATAAAGACAGCGCTCAGTGCTGGGCCCTGGATGTCACGAGTGCTTCCTGCCCTCAACAGGGCATCGTTCGCTGCTTGCCTAGTGAGTGCACTGCTCCCAGGCCCGGCACAGTGGAAGGGAGAATCAGGCACCTTTCCCATGTGATGGGGTGAATCCTTGGTTCTCTTCTGTAAAATGGGAGTGGTGTTGGCAGTCCTCTGAGGGATTGCTGAAAGAATCACAGGCAGTAATGCCTGGACGCACACCCTGCGCCAGAGGTGGGATCAGCACTACCAGGTACGGAGAGGAGTGGCTCTGGGCCCTCAGCTGGCCCAGAATAGACAAGGGCAAGGTTAAGACAGCATCTTCCAAGGGCCATGCTTCTCTTCACGAGCAGAACCCCCATCAGCAGCTCTCCCTGCCGTTTGCTAAGGCCCACCTTGCTTTCCGCTGATGCCAGTGTGTCTTAAGAAACAGCCTGCTCTTGACAGGTTGGTGGTGGTTTCTGCTTTCCTTGTGTTATGTTGATGTTTTGATTAAAATATTCCTGGGTTTCAGTCCTATACCGTGGTCCTTGGTTAAAGGATAAGCAACAGTATTGTTTCTCAATTGCATATAACATCAGCAAAACAGCTTTTAAATAGGGCTTTTCTACAGTTCAGCAAACACCAGGCAAGTGAACGCCTCCATGACTGCTGTATGCTGTGGGAGCGCATGGTTGTGTTGGCACGATTTTGTCTCTTGAAGAAACCCTAATTGCTAGGTACTCTTATGTCCTCAGTGTTATGTTGGCTGAAAGGCATCTGCTCAGGTCCAGGGGTGAACTCCTCTGCCATGCGGCGTGGGGTGGGGGTGGCAGTTAACCTTAGAGAGCCTCAGTAGACTCATCTGTGCATTGGAGGAATATGCACTTAACTAAGCTTCTGAGGAGGAAATGAGCTGTTGGAGATAGAGCCACTCAGTGCTGGTACCTACCATGCACTCAATGAATATTTATTGTCTTTATTACAGATGAGTAAACAGTTAAAAAATGGAGTGGCTTAGCCAAAATAATACATCTGATAAAAATAGGCTAAACATAGTTCAGGTTGGTATGCTCATTTCTGGAAAAGCCATTTGACTAATTAACAGCAAGGACAACCACACCACCGTACCCTGCCCCCCCCCCCAAGAGTGGGTCTGGTATAACCTGCAGTGGCTTCTGATTCGAGCGTCTGAGTGACAGTCTTAGTAGGGGGTGGCTGCAGAACTGGAAATCTCATCACCCTGCTACTTGCTGCCTTGGGCCTTCTCCTGTCAAACATCAGGTTTGTTGAATCAGCGAGGGAGGCCTGGCCTCGTGGGGCTGCCCTGGCTCCAGCTTGGGCAGTCCCCACAACAAAGGCATGGAGTGGCTGTGGAGGAGACCTGTGGTTTAGAGATGCAAATCCTCAGACATTATAGAGAAAGCAGACACCTTTCTGTGGCAGGACTGGTGGAAAAACCTAGTCATTTTGACCTCTTTTTCAGATGTATCTCAGATTCTGGAATTATAGCATAATAGGGATTCCTTCCAAATCCACAAAGCAGTGGTTCCTATCCCTGCCTTCCAAAGGCCTAATGACTCTAGCAGCAGCAAGATGAGGCACAGACAATAAAACACCGTCCCTTAGCCAGCCTTTTCTCACGTGAGCCATGAGTTGGCACTATTCAGAGTCTTTGGGACGAAGATTTTAATATGGCAGACATGCTTAGCATTCGTTTCAGATAAACATCACTCAGCGCTTGCCTTGGTCAGACACCCTAAAGCGGTCCGCATAGATTCCTAATAATGAGGAACTGTCACAGGAGTGAGTCATGTGTGAATCCCCTTTCCCTGTAGCCATGAAGTCCCTCCTTTCCCTCCAGGACCCAGACCTGACCTCTGTAGTCACGTCCCTAACTAAGGAGAAGGCTCTGACTTTGGCATCATCTCACTTAGGTTCAAGCCTTAACTCTGTCCTCCCTGATTCTTTTACTTGCCCTTGAAGAATCTCAGATAAGCTACTCAGCCCCTTCCTTTTTCTGTAAGTTGGGTGACAGTAATTCAGTGACTCCATGATGTCTCTTGTTTCTGTCGTGTTGCAGTTGATAAAGTGGCCTCTATGTGCATAGTCTCTTAGTTGTACCTGGTAGTCATCCTGGAGGGTGATTATTGGAGCCAAGACAAGGATTTTCAGTGATTCTCCCAGGGCCGGCAAGGCCCGACTAGAAGTCCTAATTCTAAAGCCAGGGCATTTTTAGAGTAATGGCACCACTGCCATCTTCCACAGCCTGGTACCTTTCATAGGCTGTTGTCTCATACCTCTGGTGTCCAGGTGCTGGGGATTAGGCCATGAGCGTCACCCCAGGGAGGTGCGTGAGGTCTGGTAGCACTAAACAGCCCCGTGTCAAGTAGGTAAGGGGCATCTTTACCACACACCTCACTGTGAGGGGTTCTCCCCAGCTAGCTGACAGGCTCACTTTGAGTCTCCTCCTCTATGGCATGGTAGGTAGTAAACAAACACTGGGCAGGTGTCCTCAGAGTGCATTCTTTGGCTTTCTCTTCTTCACCTCCCAAAGGCCCCAGCATCCCAGGGCCCACGCTGTCCTAGTGGCCCCTGAGGCAAGTTGTCTTATCTGTTTACTTGGCTGTTTCCTGCCTGTCCTGTTAGTCATGCAGGGTAGGGGATGGAGCTGCTACAGGGCCCCGGCTGTAGTGCTCAATACCCATTTGTAAAAACCACTGGAGGCCGTCCATCATGGGGAGAGAGTCTGAAGCTTTAGGGCAAAAGATCTCAGATCTACAGGGCAAGGAAAGATTCCTATTTGCTTCCCTAAAATCCTGAATATGCTCCATGAGGTGTGGGGGAACATACTTTATACCCTGTGCAAATCTCTTGCTGGAGAGACAAGAAGAAGAGGACTTGTTTATTCAGGATCAGACTTCAGTTCGCCCACATCTGGACTTCATTAGCCCCCCTCCCCATCTCCCTTTATCTTCAAGAGCTCTGCCAAGAAAACAAGGTTCCCCAGCGTTGCCTCCTCATTAAAGGTTAGTCGGGGTTTCAGCTCTGAAAAAAGTGAAGTTGTGCTGGCCCAGCCGTGCGGTTAGTGGGAGACTGGGTCCCCTAGTTTACAATGCCCTACATCTGTGCAATTACCAAGACCACCAACAGAGTAGCTACATTAATCCTGTGACTATGTTGTCCCTGGATCAGATGGCTGCAGAGTTCTTCTGAGACCTTCTTATCCCTCAAGGATGGTGGGAGGGGGCATCTATTTGTGATTTAACAAACACAGGCCTTGAGATCATGCTGCCTAG